AATATATATATATATATATATATATATATATATATATATATATATATATATATATATGTAAAGCATTTGTAGTAATTTTGGTACAAGTTGAATGTTTTGATCACAAAAATAAAGTTTGCTTGTACCCATGCTTCTACATATTATTTCGGCTAGTTACAAAATGAATATCATATCCATTCCGAATTGTTTGCAGAGTCTACAAGTATGTTCGAGCAGGCAACAATTGTGGCCAAAGTTCGAGCACGTTGGCCTATTCACCCGGGATACATGCACACATTTGGGTTCACCGAGAACTTCTTCGTCGTAGTTGAACAACCGCTGTCGGTATCTGTACCTGCCATTTTCAAGAATCACGTTACCAGTTCTCCAATAGCAGCATCTTTTCGGTGGTACTCAGAAGAACAAGTTAGAATCAATCAAATAAAGATTATATTTTAAACGTCTTACGCTCTAATTTATTGATAAACAATATTTTCTTACAGACACAAATCAATTTAATATGCCGCAAAACTGGAAAAATCGCACATCAATTCGTCGCAGAAGCTTTTTTTTATCTCCATATAATTAATAGCTTCGAAGAAGACGACCACGTTGTTGTAGATATATGCTGTTACAGAGATCCATCAATGTTGGACTGTTTGTACGTGGAATCGGTGCAGGTAAGAAAACGAGCGGATATTAGCATACAACACGTATAATAATAATAATAATAATAATAATAATAATAATAATAATAATAATAATAATAATAATAATTAAAAAAGGGATAAGTATAGTAATATTTCTCATTTTGGGCAAACCCCCATTCCAGTAACATTGCTCATTCTCCGCTGAATCACGAGACATCAAAGGTCCTTTCTAAACTACCAAACTACGACACAAAGGCCACCTCTCCGTTCACGTTCACCTTCATACGAACATTAAACCTCTCAGAATGGAAGCGCCCTGGCTGTCTGTTGAGCCTCATTGAGGTATGTTGGACCTCATTGAGAAGCCACAGGTACCTCTAACATGAGTTGTACATCTCATTTCTTCTCCCAAACCTTTATTCCCTATCTGGTTTCTCTCCTCGTTCCTCGTAGGCCAGATACCAAATTTAAAATAACCAAATGAAGGCACCATATGCACCAACTAACGATGATCGAAGATACCATAGTCTTGCAATAAATAGTGTGCACATTCTCTACACCAAAGATTACCGAAATCAGGCAAAACCATTTTATTACTCTATTCGACAGAGTAATTCACGCTCATTCCTCCTGTTATGAAATGCCAATCGGCGGGCTAATCACTTAGCGTGACTTACATACATGCAAACGGAAGGTGAAAAAGATAACTGTAAAAGGAAAGAAACTTTTCTTCGTTATCCAGCTAATGAAAAGGTGTTCCAAACGTCTAAACGCTTCAGTGTTTTTAGGTGCAGTAAGTAGTGAAACCCTGGAGATGACTGCTTCTCGCAAAATTTAATTGTACTTGTGGGATTTATTTGTTGCTGGCTAGTCTGCCCTTCTGTGAGAACATCTATTTAATTTATCTAATTTTACGATACATAAAAATATGTTTCCGCAAGCATCACAGAACCAACCGGAATACGACAGCGAAGAAATGCTATCCGTAGCCCGAACCCTTGCGTTCGTGAGCCGTCTAAGAGACCACGAGTCAACAAGAAAGGGCCAGAACAACCTGGTACCCTCAAGGGCATGCGAACAGCCACGGCGCACTGTCTGCCCTCGCAGCAGTACCGCATCTTCCTTACAGTCCCCCCCCGGAGCTGCATCTGCACCTTTGGGCTAGCGACACCCCGCGTGCACGTACGAGCGACACGGCGGCACGCCCCTACCGCTTCTTCTACGCAATCGTCGCCGACGTGGACCTTCGACAACCAGCACGGTACGATCCCTTTTCCTTTATCCAATGTCATACAAACGTATTCTTCTACGCCAATCTCGTTCCGACGTGGACCTCTGACACCCAGGCACAGTCGTCCTTTATTACTTTCCCAATTCACACAACCTATCTCTGCGCATCATCGTCGACGTGGACCTCAACACCCACGCACAGGTACGTACCTTTTTGTAAATCAAATATCAACAAGCTTCTCTCGCCATCCGTCCGACGTCGAAATCGCAACCACCACGCACGTACCGTCCTTTTTTCTATCAAATTACAATCAACTTCTACGTCAATCTCGCCGAGACGTGAGACCTCCGACAACCTGGAGCACCGTAACACTTATTTCTTTTATCCCAAATTCAATACCGTTTCTTCTACGCCATCTCGTCCGACGTGGACCTCTAGAACCCAGGCACAGTGCGTCCTTTTTCTTTATCTCAAATTCAAAACCGCTTCTTCTGCGCCATCTCGTCCGACGTGGACCTCGACAACCCACGCACGGTACGTCCTTTTTGTAATCCCAAATTACAATCAACTTCTTCTACGCCATCTCGTCCGATGTGGATATCGACAACCCACGCACGGTACGTCCTTTTTCTTATCCCAAATTACAATCAACTTCTTCTACGCCATCTCGTCCGACGTGGATATCGACAACCCAGGCACGGTACGCCCTTTTTCTTATCCCAAATTACAAACAACGTCTTCTACGCCATCTCGCCCTAAGAGTATTGACAAAGAAAAAAAACTATTTTCTATACAATAAAAAACAAAAAAATGTAAGTTGACGGCCTTGGTGTGCGTATTACGACAATATTCTATGGTGCGCAGCTGTGCAGTAGCTTGTGAAATTACGCCGTCAGTAAGTTCACCCCGCCAGGCAAACTTCAGAATAACAGTACACTCGCTGTTCACACATGACGCGAACAACCTCCCGCGTCTACAAATCTTGGAAAAAAGGTCAGATTTACATTGGTTTATTAGCTAAAACGAAATTGGAAAATTACAATAAACATTTTCAATGGAAAATTCGGTATCTGAGGCCCAAAGTGAAAATGAATTATTTTTAGTTAGTAATAAGAAGACAACGATGGTGTGCCACATATTCACACGTTTCGTTACTGTACAGCAGTTTCTTGACGTTTTATATTTCTTTAACTTTCTGTACTTTGTGCTTCAAATTCAATGAAACGAAGAGGGTATATTTGAGTATTGACGAAGAAAAAGTATTTTCTATACAATACAAAACAAAAAGTGTAAGTTGACAGCCTTGATGTGTGTTTTACGGCAGTATTCTATGGTGCGTAGCTCTGCATTCGCTTGTGAAATTACGTCGTCAGGAAGTTCACCCTTTCAGGCAAACTTCAGAATAACAGTACACTCGCTGTTCATACATGACGCGAACAACCTCCCGCGTCTTCAAATCTTGGAAAAGTGGTCATTTTTACATTGATTTACTAACTAGAACGAAATTGGACAATTATAATAAATATTTTCAATGGAAAACTCGGTATCCGAGGTCTAAACTGAAAATGAATTATTTTTGGTTAATAACAAAACTACGCTGTTGAGCCTTCTCTCTGAAA